CTGATTACATATATTTGGATAAGTGAATCAAATAATGCCCCAAATGTTATCTTATGCAGTGTAAACGTCTGGGATTAACATAGGTAGGAAGGGAATACTCACTTATTCTGCAACTAGTGTAACACAAGGTTTCCACTTATGTGTATCACTTTATCCAAAGCATTAAAAACCTGAACATAATTTAATATTTACAGACTTAATAGTATTCAGGACATCATGCTTGTAAAGATCAGCAAAAAGGCAAGATTCAGGGAAATGGATCGGCGCCGTGGCTGCAGCAGTGAGCTCAAACATGCAGTGATTGTGAGGACGGCGCTAGACCGGGCAGTGTTGGGCCCTGTTGGGCCCTATTGGGGTCACTAAGGGTCAGAGCCAACGCAGTGGCACCCGACACTGACAGTATACATCTTGATGCTGTTAGTTGCTACCCTGTTGGCATGGTAGCCCTCTGTATAATGGAACAAAATGTTTCCTGAGGCGATCCTTGCTGTGGTCAAGTTCATTGCTGTGGCCTCCGTGTGTTCTGAGTGCCCTGCAACCCAGGCGCTCATCTCCCAGCCCTGTGTCCCCAAGTCCGTAGGGTTGTGATCTACAGCCTTCCCATTGGTTCACTTTTGGAAGCAGCGTCCCAGACCTTTCTTTCTAGTCGGCGTTAGTGGGGAAGCTCTCCTGAAACCTGTCCACCACAGGTGACCCTGCAAGTGAAATAAACACTAATGGCCTAGCTTCCAATGTTAGAGCAACCCACAGACCACTGTACAACAAACTGACAGATGAATGGTTATCGTTTTTGCTTCTCAAGGCCATCACGTTTGCTCCGACCAGGAGCGACCCTGTGTACACCAGAAGGAAACGCCACTCAGCCCAGTGCCATCTGACAGTGGGTGTTACCTGTGAGCCCATTAGTGCAGCCACTGTGTCAACCCTCTGATGAGGGTCTTCCTCTTGCGCTGCCCCTTTGCTTTACCAAGCACGATGTCCCTCTCCAGGGACTGGTCCCTCCTCACCACATGTCCAAAGTATGTAAGATGAAGTCTAGCCATCTGTGTTAGTCCGGGTAGACTAGAGAAACAAATTCATAAGCATGCATATGTGTATAAGAAAGAGCTTTATAGACAAGAGCAGTTGGATATTGAGAAACATCCCAGCAACGTCCAGATCAAGTCCATGCCTCCGATATTAGCCCATATGTCTGATACCTATCTATAAAGTCCTCTTCAGACTCATGAAACACATGCAATGACACTGAATGCGGGAAGATCACAGGCCAGTGGGTGGGAAGTCTTGTGGATCCAGTGGTGGTGTCAGCAGCTCAGCACTGGCAGGGTCTCCACGTGGCTTCTCCAGCTCCAGAGGTCTGGCTCCATTAGCCTCTCTGCGTGTGTCTTTTCCACAGGGATGCCTTGTAGGGAGTCTGTATTGTCAGTAGAGTCTCCAAGGGAGTGAGACTCTGTCCCACCTCAAGTGAGCTACTTATCTCCTTAGCACCTCCAAATGAGGTCATCAAGCTACCACCTGATTGACAGGCTAAACCCCACGCCTTCACTCTTAATCCTCTCAAATTGACATCAGATTATGTAACTACCACACCATCCTTGCTTCTAAGGAGCATTTTGGCTGTACTTCTTCCCAGACAGATTTGTTTGCTTTTTTGGCAGTCCGTGGTACTTACTGTGTGCTTCGTCAGCACTGTAGTTCAACCTCACCGATTCTTCTTCGGGATCTTTATGTGATGTCCAGCTTCCAATGCATATGAGACAATTGAAAGTCTCTGGCTACTTTTACCAGTTAAAGAATCATTTTGTAAACTGAACAGGTGCCACCTAATTTTTACCATTTTGCCTTTAAGTGGGATGTACTTAAGTGACTCTACAAGAAATTGATATAATAAAGGTTAAGTTTACCTTCCATAATTGACTCCATCATTGTCCACTCAAGTAAGAAAAGCAGAATCAATAAGGTCTTTCTAGTCTGATTGCTTAACACTGCAATGTGAAAACTGTTACAAATACCTGCTGGTTCTTCGTAATTAAAACGTTTCTTTAAACCCTGACCACAAAACTGCCTTTAAAAACACTTGTCAATTGTCATACAACCCTGGGCATTTATCAAAAATCAAGAAAGTGTGCACTCAAACAAGTGAATTTTCTAGATGTTTAATTATTCCTCAATAAAGATGCTAAAAAATTGTTAGAGCAGCGAAATATTTATTCTTTAATGGTAGAAAATGATGCTTTCATTTTGGTAATAGTGGGAAATGTTTTGTTTTGATAAGCGAACAATTTTTATCATGAAGTCAAAAATCTAGAACCTGTTGAACTAAATCCTACCTCCAATTTAAGAACAATTAGTTCTTACATCAAGGCCCTGCTTGATACTCGCCCTAAGGAAGGGAACACAGAAGATATATGGTTATTATAGCCAAGTGTGGTGAAGAAATTCGATGGTGTCTGGCTATCAGATAAAATACCGTCTGGGGCCATAAAGGCTTGTTTCCAAACAAGCAGCCATCTAAGTGAGATGTCAACCAAGTCCACATGGCAGCAGCACACCAACATCAGTGACCCTTGCAAATCATGTCATCGGAAGCCAAAGGAGGGAATGGTATCAGAGCCTAAACTGTGATCCTGGTTTGCAGAAGGCTGTGGATGACAGTGGGAGCCCAAGATGCCTTGGTGAGATCCACACAGGAACTAAGCTTCCAGTGCTTTCCCTCCCTACCCAATAGCGGGATGGGAAGAAGCTGGTTACCACACAGTGCACTGGACAGATGGCCGCAGGAGATGAAAGGGATAAGCCTCAGTCCAGCGGTTAACACCTCGTCAGTTGGTCCCCTGCCGATGCACATTGGGCTGATCTGGTTTCCAACTTTTTTTTTATTGTTTGCTTTTTCATATCGAGGTTTATCTCAGATGTATTTTGCCATTGGGGGTGGCCCTCTTGAGTTTTTGTTACACGTTTTTCTGTTTTTAAGTGTACGAACCCCAGGATTGATGAGCAGATAGGGACAGCAAATAGAATAGGGGTCCTGCGGGGTACAGTTAGAGGGGGGGCAAAATGATGTCAAGGAGTTCAAGAAGGAAAGGAATGCTTTGAAGCTGATTGTGGTTGCAATTGTATAATACTGCTTGGTGTTATTGAAGTATGGAATGATAGGATGTCTATATTAGCCCCCAACAAAATGATTTTGAAAAACTCTAGAGCCTGGTAGCTGTATCTTGCATTTGCTCCCTGGATAGGTGCAGAGGGAGAGCTGGTGAGGAGCTGACTCACTTCTTCACATGTTCGCACAAACTAGGTGAGAGGAAGGACAGGCGGATCCCAGTTAATTTGTAAAATTCTTTAAAGGGCTACATTTCAGTTCTTCCAAACAAATTTGCTGCTTTATACTTTTTGGGCTTGTAATAATAGTGTTTGTTTATGTTGTCTGGTTTGTTTTGAAAATTTTAAAATAAGCCAAATTGTATCTGGATAATGGTCCCAACATGCAGGCTGTAAAATATGTGTAACCAGCCCTGGTGGTATAATGGGTTACGAATTAGACTGCTAACTGCAAGGTCAGCAGTTCAAAACCACAAGTTGCTCCACAGGAGAAAGATGAGGCTCTCCGCTCTGGCAAAGATTTCCACTCTCATAAACCCACAGAGGCAGTTCTGCCTTGCCTCGTTGGAGGGTCGCTATGAGTCAGAATCAGTTCGTTGGCCGTGGGTTTCGAGGGGCATGTGTAGAAGCCCCGGTGGCACTGTTGGGAATGTGTTGAGCTGCTGACTGCAAAGTTGTTTCAATCCGCCAACCACTGTGCAGGAGAAAGATGAGGCTGGCTGCTCCCGTCCGGGTTTAGAGTTCTGCTCTTCCCCATGGGGTTGCTCTGATTCAGCATTGGCTGAGCAGCAGCGGGTGGGTATTTTCCTTTTAGTTGGTCATTTGAGTTCCTCTCTTTTCCGAACCGCACACAGACACACAGGGTGGATAGGCGTTGGAATCGTCGCAGTGGCAGTGGCCGGTGGGCAGTGTAACAAGCCATGGTGGTGCCCTGGGTTGAGCCTTGGGCTGCTAATCAGAAGGTGGTCTTTTCAAATCCACTAGCACTGAGGGGCGGAAAGATGAAGCAGTCTACTTCTGTAAAGCTTGACAGCCTCAGAAACTCTTGGGAGCAGTTCTGTCTTATAGAGTCACTGAATCAGAGCTGACTGAGCAGCAGTGGGTTTGGTTCAGGTACTACATATCTATATATCCACATTCCATTAAATACACACATAAGGTCTTGAAAAGTATTGATACTCTATTACTGCAAACTCTATTTTTAACTTTAATAAATGAGTGTATTTTCAGCCCTTCATATAATCCGTATTTGTCTTTTGCCTGATCATTTGAACCTCCCTCTTTTTGAAGTGCATACACATACACACAACACACACACACATAGTGATGGCAGCTTGCATCACACATATAATTCTGTGGTGAAGTATATGAAGTTATATTTTAAGCCATAGATAATTACATTAGTTTTGAGATTGTTGATGAAATGTAGGGATGTGTCTTAGCTGCATATATAACAAAAATAAACAAAAGAAAACCCTCCATTGTCCGTGGCTCTGTGCAGTGCTCGGCGTAGTGTCGTCTCCAGGACTCCCCAGTGTACTGCAACAAAAAGGTCTGGAGCCAGGACCACCTGCATTTGAGGTCTCTTTCTGTTACTACTTGGTTTGTTCCACGTGCAGAATGCTTATTGTCTCTGTTTCAAAGTTTTCATCCATAAATGCAGAACAATCCTATCAGCATTACCTCAGAGGGTCGCCATGAGGTACTATAAAAGGAACCGCTTTGTAAACCACTCAGCTCAGCAGAAGTGTTACTAATGTGCTTGTGTTCAGGGGAAGTCCCTTGTATCCTATTGATGCAGACTTCTTTAGACTTACCACTTTGTAAATTGTGTCCTTTACCACTTTGTAAATTGTCCAGTGGTCCCAAGTGATGTTGCTGTGTTTTTCTTTCCACAGAGCATATCATGTCCCAAGTGGGAAAATACTAGCTGTAAAGGTAAGTGCTGGACACGTTGTATGAAAAGTTTGATGTTCACCATTTCCGATTTCTCCTGTTAGCTTGAGTCACTGGAATCGTCCAAAAGGAGATGAAAGGGCTTAAGGTTCAGATGGTAGGTCGTGGAAGCTATGTATGTCCTTGCTGTGCTATTCATGCACTGAACTGTTTGGTAAGTATGCCTTAAAACAGTCAGTCATACCCCTTGCATTATAAGTCTTTTTTAAATTTAATTATTTTATTTGGGGCTCCTACAACACTTAATCACAATTCATACATACATCCATTGTGTCAAGCACATTTGTACATTTGTTGCCATCATCATTCGCAAAACATTTTCTTTCTATTTGAGCCTTGGTATTAGCTCCTCATTTCCCCCACCCCTCTTCATGAACCCTTGATAATTTATAAATTATTAGTATTTTGTCATGTTTTACACTGTCCGATGTTTCCCTTCACCCACTTTTCTGTTGTCCGTCCCTCAGGGAGGGGGTTATATGTAGATCCTTGTGATCGGTTCCCCCTTCCCCTTCCCTTCCTGGTATCTCTACTCTCATTATTGAGCCTGAGGGGTTTATCTGTCCTGGATTCCCTGTGTTTCCAGCTCTTATCTGTACCAGTGTACATACATCCTCTGGTCTAGCCGGATTTGTAAGGTAGAATTGGGATCATGATAGTGAGATGTAGGGGGAAGCATTAAAGAACTAGAGGAATGTTGTATGTTTCATCGGTGCTATACTGCACCCTGACTGGCTTGTCTTCTCCCTGTGGCTCTTCTATAAGGGAATGTCCAGTTGCCTACAGATGGGCTTTGGGTCTCCACTCCCAACTCCCCTTCATTCACTATGATATGATTTTTTGGTCTTTGATGTCTGATACCTGATCCCATCGACACCTCATGATCACACGGGCTGGTGTGCTTCTTCCATGTGGGCTTTGTTGTTCTGAGCTAGATGACCACCTGTTTATCTTCAAGCCTTTAAGACCCCAGATGCTATATTTTTTGGTAGTTGGGCACCATCAGCTTTCCCCACCACATTTGCTTGTGCACCAGCTTTGTCTTCAGTGATCGTGTCAGAAAGCATCATGGAATGCCAGGTTAACAGAACAAAGTGTTCTTGCTTTGAGGGAGTACTTGAGTAGAGGCCCAATGTCCATCTGCTACCTTAATACTAAACCTGTAAATATATGCACATAGATCTATTTCCCCATCATCATATATAAATATACATATTTATATATGCAGTGAGAAGCTCAGTAATCATTCATTCCTCCTTCTTTTCTTACCACAGCCTGTCAGAAATCTCCCCTGAAATGTGTCCATTTGTCGTCTTCATTCTACTTTCATCTCCGTTGTACCCTCTTGGATCAGGCTCACATGACCTCCTAGGATTCTTGAAATGATGTCCTCATTGTACCTTCTGCCTTTCTCTTCCCCTGTGCACCATTTATTCTGTCACCAGAGCAGAGAAAAGGAATCCCAGAGAACCATGTTCCTGTCCCCTTGCCCCGCTCATTGTCATCCTCAATAGTCCTATACAAAATACAGCCAACGAGTTCTGCTTCACTCTGACCATTGAAGGTATCCTCAAATATCAAGCACCACACCCACCAAGAGCCAAGCTTCAGGTAATCCCAGGGGTGTTCTTGGCACTTACCTGAACTGTATTGTTCTTATTTCCATCCTAGCATTATCCAGCCTTATCGCTGCCAAACTCCAAATCTCCATCTTGCCAAGTCACTCAACATTTACCCTCTGACACAGGCTGGTGGTGATTGATCTTCCCAGCTTTTTACATCAGTTCTCCTTGTGAATGCTGGTTTAAAGTGTACCTCTAACTGAACCCTTTGCTATATCAACTTCCCCCATGGTCCTCACCCCAGTGAGCCCCACTTGGACACTGGACTCCCAGCTAACAAACTGGACAGTCCTGTCTCACTCCCTGTCTGGCCAGGCTCTCTACCAGTGGGCTCCTGTCCACCTTTAAAGACACGCTGTCTGCCTTCGCAGTGTGCTGTCTTACAGGATATGCCCGTCAGCTCTACTCTCTGGGCCTTTCATAATGAAAGCGCTTATGTTTTATGTTATCGTGACAACTACTATATTCCAGGCATGATGCTACTATTATTCTTAAGCCGTACAACTACAAAGCTAAACCTGTCTATTTTAGAGTTGAGTAAGCTGAGACCCTGAAAGCTGACTTACCCAAGGTCATACATCTGGGAGAAGCAGGCCTATGGCTGCAGTTCTCATGGCCTCTGTCATCCACCTTCCTGCACATTACTCCCGGTATTAAGCTCTCTGATTGTCATCTCTCATCTCAAGCTTTTCTTCTTCAAGATGCCCTCGTAGCATGCCCCAGTGAGAATGCAGTCTCTTTCCCAATTACTTGCATCGTACGTCTGTCTGCATCTTTTATCACACCTAGGAAACTGAAAAGTGGAGAGATGGCATGGCAACTGGTTATACTGTTCAGTGAGGGCCCACCAAAACTAAGGCATGGATCTTCTGATTGTTAGTGTAGTCACATATCCAACACCTCGCATGCGTTATGTGGCATCATAAAGTTTGATTTTCGTAATTTAAGTAACTTGGTGGTGAGGAGGTACAACAGAGCTCTAACCAAGTTAAGTTCACAGAATTGCACAACTGGAAGAGACCTTACAGGTCATCCACCCATCTTTTGCAGAGGAAGAATGTCAAGTCCAGGGAGCTCCTGCACTCATTCCTCACTAGGCTTCCCCAAGTCCACTGAAGGCAGCTTCAGTTGTTCCACCTTGGCACTGAACTTCCTTTTATAGACTCACTGAGCTCCCATCCACTCAAAGGGCACCTCCAAAAACCTGAGCACCAGTACCTTACCTGTGCGACATTTGTTCCTCTGATATCCAAAATCTCAAACCACTGCCTGTCGTATACTTGTTAAAGATAGTCCGTTCTAGCTTATTCACTCAAGAGAGCACTAATACAGATTATACAGTTTATCACTAATTGGCCTTGCGCATGTTTTATAAATGTATTCATAATTTCATATAGTTTTGAACTGTGTTTTACCCAAGTTAATAGAGCGTGATCATTTAGCTGGGCGTGTCAAGGAACCAACAACTCTTTCTGTAGAGGATTAGAGGCAATTTTAAATAAAGGACACATTTTCAACAAAGCTGTTAAAGTAGAGATTTAAAATTTTACATTCTACTTGACTCTATTGAAATATGGAATATGATATTAAATATTAAATCCCAACAACAAGCAAACTCAAAAAAAAGTTGGAATTTATAAATATACTACTCACTATATCTGAGCCTTAAACTATGAGCTTTAATGTAGTAACTATCATATTCATCTTTATATTCTCAAATTTGTTAAAGTTACATACTCGGTGCTCAACCTGAATTGAATAAGTGAATGATTTCAGAGCAGATATGACTATTGTGATTAAACTTTGTTTAGCCATGAGCTTCCTCCAAAACCAAACTCATTGCCCTTGAGCATGTAATTCGTAACGACCCTGTACAACTATCCGCTGTCAGTTTCTGAGACTCTAACTGCTTACAGGAGTAGGACGCCCCATTTTTAGCCCCTGGACTGACTGGTGGTTTTGAACTGATGACCTTGCAGTTAGCAGCCTACTGCGAAACCACTATGCCAAGGAAAGACGTCCCATAACTTAGTAATAATCATACGCTAATAAAGACAAATGTACCAGTTCCTCCAAACAGGCAGTTTTTTGCTATATTCTTTTAAAAGTTTTATTATTTGTTGGTTTAAATAGTGATAGTTTCCAAAATTGGAAGAATTTTCCAGATATCCTTCTGTTATTGATTTCTAATTTAGTTCTGTTGTGGTCAAAGAATATACTTTGTATCGAATCTATACAAAGATTATACTTTTCATAATTTTTGAAGCTCTGTTATTAAATATATTTAAATTTCACTCCCTTATCATTATGAAATGACCATCCTTGTATGTGGTAATGGTCTTTGCTCTGAAATTTACGTGGTCTAATATTAAGCTAACCACTCCAGCTTTATTTTTACTAGCCTTAATGTGTCATTTGACTTTTAACTTATTGTGTCTTTATATTTGAAATGGATTTCTTATAGACAGCACATAATTGAGACTTACTTTTCAACCTGATACCGTTCGCCTTTTAACTGGGGGTGCTTAGACCATTTACATGCCATGCGCTTGCTGCCGTGGCTGGGTTTACACCGTCCCCTTGCTCTTCATTTGGCTGTATGTCCTTGGGTTTGGTTTTCGTGGTTGCTTTAAGTCTTAGCGTTTGTGTCCTTAACCTTACCATAGTTTATATTCAAGTAATGTTGTGCTGGCTCATAATAGTATGTATTCAGTCCTCTCGTGCTAGATTTTAGGTTCTGTTGTTGTTGTTCTTTATCTTTTTATTGTAAAGTTTACACAAAAGTTTACAGAACAATTGGTTTTCCCCTCAGCAATCTATTCCTGTTTCGTTCTGACATGATTTCCGCCCTCACAATGTGACGACACTCTTTCTGCTTCCTCCTGGTGGTAACCTTTCCATTTGTCCTCAGTGCCTGGCCTCCTTTTGTTCCAGCCTTTGTCGCTGGGCACATGCTGCCCTGGGCTCTTGTCTGGTTGGCCGTTCGAGTGAAGTGAGTGCCTGCCCCCCTGGTTGTGTTGTTCACCTTGTCTATCGGATAGTTAGAGGGGTTTGTGCTATTATCCTGTTTGATCTATTTTTATTAACAGTTGTATTGGCATTTAATTCACTTATCATACAATTCAGTAGATCAGTCATATTAAAAAGAGTTGTGCAGGAATCACCACAATCAATTTTGGAACATTTTCTTCTTTCTTGGATTCATTGTTATGAGCTCCTCATTTCCCTCCAACCTCTCGCCATCCCCCCAGAAACCATTACTCCAGCTACTGTCTCTATAGATTTACCTACCCTGGGTTTCTCTACATGTTATAAACCTTAAAACGCATTGTTACTTTATTTGCTTTAGGGAATCATTTA